AAGATATACGGAGAATGTTAGATTATCACCAGGTTCTGGGCTTCAGTGTAAGAACCTTGCCAGTGTCTGTGTGTGTACGGGTAAAACGCAAACACTGGAATGTGGCTTCTCTTAATTTAATTTATTCAAAAAGAAATCGCTCTACATGAAAAAAATACAAACAAACAAAAAACAATAATACGAGTCTACACAAATCACCAACCTTGAGAAATTTTGAGATTGAGCCCCATCTACATATTCCTCTTATCTCTAAACTGCCAGACTTTGTCAGTTTGTTCAGTTGACTAGAAGCTGAACTGAGAGAGAAAGTGATTTGCAACACAATGGAAACCACAGACTGAAAAAAGTCAATAACATTCAGCAGCTTTAGTAGATAATGTGTGAAAATGTCCCACTATAACTTTTTCTTAATTTAAAGGTGACCATTTCAAACAACAGCCAAAGAGAGCTCAGGATACTCTTGTTTCAGATTTTTTCTTTGTATAATTCTACTTGTTTTTAAGGTTATTTGTCAGTTTTTTGGTTTCTAAGTGTTCTTTATTGTCAGGTCTCAACTGTTATGAGTTTCACCCCCAACTTGTGCTCAGTATTTCCGTTTAGGTAGTTTCTCATTTCTGATAGAAGGATAACGATATAAGTTAGATTAGATTCAGCTGTCTTGTTACTCTCCTGTTTTCAAATCATTAATTACCTTGCCTATAGTAATTGCCCTCAGTCTTGTCTTGGAACTATTGCTTCATTAGTGTTTTTCTTTTTTTTGTTGCCATATTTGACAGAAACAATGTCCCAACAAAACGTCACTAACCCCATCCAACCAGGCAGAGTTTGAGCAGGTATCTCCTGATATAGATGTTAAAGACCCGAATGAGCAAAAGGTAGATTTGAAACCCCTCCAGAGCACTCCAGGTCAAGGTGGCCAGCAGAGACCAATGTAGAAAGAGACCAAGAACCAGGCAAATTGAGCTGTCCTCATTTTTCCTCAGCCATTCCCAGAAACTGCACAGCAGGAAGCTGAGGTGGAGGCAGAACATTGCCCCTGTAAGTTGCATGTGCAGACCTGTGGCCTTCTCAGGACACCGCCGACTACAAGAGAAACAAGATTATTTATTTATCACCAGTTTTGCAGACAGTAGACATAATCTGGCATTTTTAGATGTTTAAATTTAAAATCAGTTTCCATATCTGTTCATACTCCATGCTTTTCCATACTTTACACCAATAGAGATTATAAGCTTGTTGTTTGTTTATAATGGCTATAAGACTAAGTATACAAGATAAAATGTCTTGTCTATGTGTAAGTGAGGCTCGTGGTCCTGTGGATTAAACAATAAAAGACAAAAAACTGAAGCTGGCAGCAGTGATGATAGGGTCTTCACACTTTGTCAAAGTGTGCTACAGCTGAGGCCAACTGTTGCTACTGTCAAGCTATTTCCTGTTGTCACATGAATACCTTACACATTTCTTCATGGTAGTTTCATGAAGGAGTTGCTTGTCCTGTGTAGAACCCACAATGAAAATTTCCTGTACATCTCATGAACATTGAATGGTGTTTACAACTTAAGTACCCAATTTCTTGTTTCTATGCCTATGCAGTAGTTCGTTCATCTGTGACCAACAGACATACAGACGTCTCCACCATGTCATTTTGGCACCGTCACATGCAAGAGCCATTAAATATAAACAATTTAACAACAACTGACATAGGTGTCAGGATTCACAGTGTTTCAAAGCTTTCCAACCCCGTAAAATACTTTAAGGTAAATTGAGATGTGGCCAAAGTTCAATGTAAATTTACAATGAACTAAAGCGAAAGTATCAGCTATAGCTATAGCTGCTGCGCAATACTGACATATAGGTGTGTTGAAACTAGACTGGGGGCTGAAGTGGTTTACTATCAGCAGGGTGCAGTGTCACAGACAACAAGTCAAACTATAGAAGAGAGAACAATAATTTATTTATAAGGAACTAAAACCTACTCTCTGCAAATGGCAAAAACCCAGGCATTTCTTTAGGTTTACAAACTAACTAGGTTTTGCAAAAAAGCATTCATGCAGGGAAGTTCAAACATTATTTTTAAAAAGTTTCAAAAATTGGAGCAACAACTGAGGTCTTATGAAGCAACATATGGTGAGAGGCGCTGTAACCTAGCAACATAACATAGTAGGCTTCTCAGAAACAGGCAAGCCATCTACTTAGCCACCAAACACTGTGGTGGGCTTCCTGGCTATTTGTGTGACCTGGGTTTTTGCCACTCAGAATGAAATGCTTGATGCGAAATCTTTCACAATGAATGTCATCTTACGTGTGTGGGACAAGTTAGCTTTGTGATGCTTAATAACTAATGTCTAATCTTTCACAACATAGTAAAAAACAAAACAAAATGTAATTTTTCTATGAAATGAGATGGCAGTAATTCACTTAGTATGAACACATTACTTTAGGTCCTTGATGAAAGGATGAAAAAAATGTCTCGTCTGCTAAACTAAAGAGATATTCTACAATATTTAAATATGACACAT